AAAAATGTAGATGAGCTGAAGGCCACTGTCAAAGAAACCTGGGCTTCCATACCACCTCAGCAGTGCCACAAACTGATCACCTCCATGCCACGCCGAATTGAGGCAGCAATTAAAGCAAAAGGAGCCCCTACCAAGTATTGAGTACATGTACAGTAAATGAACATACTTTCCAGAAGGCCAACAATTCACTAAAAATGTTTTTTTTATTGGTCTTATGAAGTATTCTAATTTGTTGAGATAGTGAATTGGTGGGTTTTTGTTAAATGTGAGCCAAAATCATCACAATTAAAAGAACCAAAGACTTAAACTACTTTAGTCTGTGTGCATTGAATTTATTTAATACACGTGTTTCACAATTTGAGTTGAATTACTGAAATAAATGAACTTTTCCACGACATTCTAATTTATTGAGATGCACCTGTATTTATACAAGCACAGTCACATGTCCAGTCACATGTCGGTGATATTCTACTAGCATAAGTGAACATCATACACATTTTATGTAGTTAGTGAAATTATTTCTTAAACCCAGTAAGTATTCAAGCACATCTCTGAAAAACAAACAGAAGTCTTACCTCAAAGAACACAGGTGATTACGGCAATAAAGTAGACGCTGAGTGCACTGCTCTGATTTGAGACTGAGTCTTATCTGAGGGAGGGTTTAAAGTGCTGATAGTGAAGTTTGAACACTTTTATGGTGACTGACTGGTGTTTAAAGACACAGTACCTATATCACAGGTGTTTCCTGTACCAGGACATTTTGTTTTTACAGCACTTCATTAATTTCAGCTATTATACTCTCAGAAAAAGGTACAAAAGCTGTCACTGGGCCAGTAGCCTTTTAAAATGTACCAATATGTATGATTTAGGTACAGATATGTATACATTAGGTAGTAATGTAAAGTACTTTTTTATTTAATAAATATATTAAAGTAGGTACAAATTTATTAAAAAGTACCACCCCAGTGACAGCTTTTTTTTTTTTCTAAAAGATTGCACCAGCAACAATGTGCTTCATTATTTGATTTTATTTACCTCAATTGCCTCATAATTAAAGAACAGGCATTGTATTGCCTATATCATTATATTGCCTCTCCCTGATGAAGTGAAAGCTTCCTTGCAAAGTCCAGGCTGGTTTGTGTTGCTTTGGTTTTGGTACAACTGGTGGACCAACATGACCTTTCTGGCAAAGACAGCTGATCAAGGAAGTCTTACTATTTAATCTAGTTAAGATGCCTGCTAGTGACTCGAGTACATCAGTGTTCAAAACAGCTGTGCTGACTCCAAATACACATTATATCTCCCCAGACGTTTCCCTTTTATTTATGTGAAATAAAGAGAAACACAATGGTTTAAGAATAATGTAAAGTTTAATATATTTCATCAACATGAAATAAGCAAACAACAGTCTAAAGGAGAAAAAATATGAAGTAAATAATAAGGCTGCTGGTGCTGATGAGCCAGTTCCCCATGAATGAACTCCTAATCTAGTCAAATAAACCTGCCATTGTATATCATACATTTTGTTGGCTCCTTGACAAACTGCTTTTGTTTTCTCTTTTGTAAATGACTTTGGATAACTAAATGCAAGAATGTAAAATAAACATGTCAAACGAACTTTGTATAAGGTGCAAAAAGAGTGCATGTTTATAATTGACATAAAACAATTTTAACTTCATTCCCAGACATTAACGTTAACAGTTTATTTATTCTATGGACTGTAAATGGTAACTTGGTATCATAAAAAATTGTGACTGAATTGTGCCATTGTGGTGTACATTAACATTTAATTCACAAACTAGAGCATAACATGTTTGGGGAAAATACTGTATTTGCAAGGGAATCAAGAAAATGTTATCAATTAGATGTAACTTATCATGAGTAATAAAGGTTTGTAATTAGGAATCTGCATTATAATATATTATACATATATATTATTTCATTATTTACTCTGCACAATAGCCTATTCAAACAAACACTGAAAATGTTTACAGAATTAACAAATAACCATTGACTATTCTCCACGACTTTGTGAACTTATCTAATACAGCTAAATGTACAAAAAACATTTCTTAATATGTTGTACGTTAAGATTATAACTTAAAGTCCTGAGAAATCAATTATAATCATCATTATTTAAGACCAAAGTAAACTTTATAATACAAACTCATCTCGGCTGAAATCAGTCGGCATGTTAATTACATTTGGAATGTTTTAAAACTGAAACATAAAAGCATTTCAGCAGCTCCAATCATACAGCTGATTCCACTGTTTCACTTTAGAAATGCGAATACAAGGTGTCTTAGGTCTCAATAATTCATTCACTGACATTCTGGCTTCTTATGGCCAGTTAAGCGGTGGATTCCACATAGTTGCCAGGAAAATATCCCTTTACTCCATTGAGAACGCCCTCACACCAGCCATCCTCATTCCTGCTGGTGAGGTAGATGATATCGCCCTCCTGAAACACCAGGTCACCTGGCTTGCCTGTGTTGCAGTTATATAGTGCCACCACTTGGTAGGAAAGAGAATTACAATGGAAAATCAGTACCGAAAGATATTTTTGATATCTCATGTTCTGAATGTGTCATTACAAAACGATCCGTCTTAGATGTCAATACAGTCATTTTCACAATGCAAATACTTTACCTGAATGAGTTAACATAAATGAGCCTACCTTTCTCCAAATAGTCGGCTGGTGCAGTTATGTCATAATCAATGGGGGGAGGTAGAGGGGGCAATTCCTCAAAGTTGTCGAAATATTCTAGTGGTGGCGATGGGGGCGGTGCTGGAATCTCAAGGTCTAAATGTGCATTGACACACAAAGTTAACATAAACTTACAAAACTGGCAAAGTGCAAATGCACCATTATGATCATAAGTGTGTTTGAAGGAGATGTGGGTAATTTCCGTTCCACAAGCCACATCAAATAAAATTGTGAAAATGATTATTAATTTTTTTTCCATTTCAAACATATGGAAGCCTACACTGATCATCAAACAATATAAATAATAACAATATATCTCTCATTTTATAAAATAAAAATAATAATTATTATTGCAGTTATTTCGCGATTCCATTTTTTGACACTAGAAATTACACACTTCACCTTTACAGGGATGGTTCACCAAAGACAACAAAAGTCTATCATATGGCTTCAGAAGACTTGGAATATAATGCACCAGTACTATTTTATTTTCCTCTGACTCCACTACAGCGTCCAAATATGTCTATTTGTATTAATTTTTTTGTGTACAGTGTATAATTTTTTTCTTGTTTTAGATCTGTTTTATAGGTCAGTCTTTTTTTTTTTTTAGCTAAACCTTTTCTACAGTTGGTTGAGCACCTGCTTTTAAATTTTGGTAATAGTTTTATTTAATAACAACAACAACGCTGTTGTGCATAAGTTGCAAGGATTATTTTTATGATGCCTTTTTGGTTCTACTTTGTCCTTTTTGCAGCTAACATGTTTGTATGGACATGATGGTGAGTAAATTATGACTTTTTTGGCTGAACTATCCCTTTAAAATCACTCGACTCATTTGAGTTTTCAAAAGAGAGATCTAACTTGGCGGAGGATGTAGTTTGAGTGTCCTGTTGTGTGTAGGATGGTGTGATATGAGGTCAAAGTATGTGCTGATTTGACTTGCTGAAGTGCAGACTGGGGAAATGGCAAATATAAAGGAAGAGAAGAGCGTCAGACAGCAATGCACAAAGAGGCCTCACTTACCCAGGTGCTCCAGCCGAGCAGGGATCCTGCACAATGGGCTGAATGAAGCAGGCGGAGCCAGAGGAGGTGGGTATGGAGGGGGTGGGGGTATCATGACTGACAGGTGTTTATCAAGAGAAGTGTGAGGGAACAAATTTGAGATTTTTTTTAAAGGCCGAACAATAAAAATGCAATTACTAAACTAAATGGTCTTTGGAATGGTATGAATGGCTAAATAAGAACCTATTTTTGGTGCGTGGTATCAATATATTTGATAACAAAATGAGAAACTGTCAATGAAATCTGAGAGGTGGCTTTAACGAATCAGGTCTCAGGAAGAAGTGGGGCCTTACGTGATTGAGCAGAAGGCAGAAAAAGCGAGCGCGTGTACAGCGAGCGAGCGCTGGGGCCCATGCGGACCCTCAGAGACAGCGAGCGAGAGCTAGGAGGATGACGTCGCACCCGTGAGCGGCGAGAGTGCAGAGCTGAGTGAGAAGAGAGAGACAAGTGTGAAAATAAGAGCAAAGAGTATAAAAGCTCACAGAAATAAACTACAGCAACACCAAGATAAAGAGCATAGATAAGCTGCCTGTAAGACAAAGCAAACATGTAATCATTCAAACTGAGCATTTTGAAGCGATACACAAAGCATTATACAAAACAAAATACCACCTTTAGACAAACGTGCTTTTGTTTTGGCGTTTTTGTACCTTCAATGTTCTCGTCACACGGCAGAGGCGGTGGGGTCGGAAGATCACGGCCATCAGGGACTGGTGGAGGAGGCATGTCACTGGGAGCTTCTGGTAGAGGAAATCCATTCTCCTCGGCCACTAGACACAAAAATTCTCTATTCAATTTTATTACTCTATTCAATTTTCTATTTTAAACTACTGTCATTGGATTCTTTTTCTCTGACTTCACTACAGAGTACAAATATGCTTACTGACTGGATTGTATTCTTACAACACACCTTTATACTTACAGAACATACTTTATTTTTTTATATATTTATTTATTTTTGTGGATAGTTTATCATTTTTTCTTGTTTTTAGTCTCATACATCATAACGTTTTTAGTTGTCCACCTTCCTGAAGGATCATGTGACACTGAAGACTGGAGTAATGATGCTAAAAAACTTTATCATACCTTGCTTTAACACGTCACATCTAGCTGGCATGCGTTGTAACCTCCTCCTAACCACCTTTCAATGACCTGCTGTGTTATAGGATGATGCTGAAATCTTCAGGCACAAACTAACCTGTTTCAAGAGGTGGAGCTGGTGGAGGAGGTGGTATTGTCATCAGGCTGCTGGGCTCAGGTGTATTCACTGGAGGGGGCAAGGGGATGTTGGTACAGTCAAGGGGAGGAGGTGGTGGAGGTAGAGGTAGGGGTAGACCAGTCTCCTGTCCATGATCTTGTTCGCCCTCTGCCTCCATCAGTGGGGGTGGAGGGGGTGGTCCTTCATCCAGCAGCGTGCTGATGATGTCAACATCAGGGCTGGCGGGCCAGCTGGGCACTACAGGAGGCGGCACGGCTTTACTGAAGCTCGAACTGCAGCGACGGAAGAAATCCAGTTATGACAAGTGATATAAATGTTATGTTAGAATTATAATCAGAAACGATAAAACACTTTCTGTGCTCTTACGCAATAGACTTGTCATTAAGTGAGGTAAGGGACGCTCCATGAGAGAGAGTGGGTGCCACAGGACACTGGACAGGCTCGGGTGGACGGCTGCCTCGACTTAATCAACATACAGACACAGAAACACATATTGAGGTGTCAGACAGTTAATATTAGGCATGTACTTCTGAATTTCATGCAGAAAGCCACTTAGGACACTTTGCTCTAAAAAGACAGGTGCATGACTCAAGTGCTCATGCTGAGAAACTAAAGTTACCGCAATGCAAACCGTGTTGCTTTCAGGCAGTGTAAAGTGGGGAAGTGGGTAGAACAAAACTAAAATCACTTCCTGGAGAAAGGCCATCTAACTGAGAAGGAAGAGGAACAGAAGCCTGAGACATATGCGGTTGATATGAGTTATGTCTGATTTCATTAGTTTTTTTTAATGAACAAGACATTTTTGGTGGAGGATCTAATCCAGAATAAAAAGAGAAGTGATTACTACTTTATAGTTAATCATAGGGTAGCAGTGGTCATGTGGGCAGCAGGTGATGAATAAACACAGGATAGCTGTAGATACTGCATAACAGAATGAAAACGTGCAAATGTCTCGAGATATGTTTTTAAATGCATCACAGCACTCATGGCACAAGATGCTGAAAAAAATAGCCAGACACTTTGCAGTGGTCACAGAATAGCACATATTAAAACAGATAAAAAATGTTGTTTTATTGTTAACTAAAACTATTGAGAATCATTTTCATTAACTGAAATGAAGCTGAAATAAAATAAAAATATTAGAACTTAATGTTGCCTTCACAACTAACTCAAAATCAGTACTAAAATGACTAAAACTAAAAATGAAATAAAAATAAAAGCTCAATAAAAATATTAAAAAAAAACTAAAAATGACAAACGAACCTAGCAAAATGACTAAAATTAAAATTAAAACTGAAAATGTAAAAATAAAAGCTAATTCACAATATTAATAAATACTATAATATCTAATAATCTCGTCCTGTGTGAACAGCACTAGACGTACCTCAGCGTGCTGCCGCTCCGTGTCATGGTAGCTGTTTTTAACTGCGGCTGGCCAGAATCCTGAAAACATCAAATCTGCAGATTAGTGTTTTTTGGATACAAGTAACTAAGTTATAATATCCAAACAAACACAATCCACAGACAAACTAAAGACTGACCACCCTGACTCTTTTCTATTAGCATTAGCCAACCTCTCATGTTTACTGTGTTTTTCTGAGAATGCAGAATATATTGAAAACAAAGTAACTGCATATTTATTCCAGGACTATAAACTATATTTTCTGGCTAATTACCCCAAAAAGTGTAAACACTGTGGCTCAGTGGTGCTATCCATACATTGCTGTTTGTTTGAGCAAATCTACACAGCAACACTGGCTCAAGCAATGGGGTGAGAAGGGACTATCTGTTTGACTGACCAGTGGGTAGTGTTCAGGGAACCTGTCTGAAATCATTTTCATCATTATTTTTGTAATACTTTTTAATGAAACTGGTAGCACAGAAATCACACACTTTATATGGCTTTACAGTCAAACATAAATTGAATAAATATATATTTACATCACCAGAAGTTTTTTTCAAACGTTTCTGCAAGAAGTCTTTTATGCTCATCAAGGCTGCATTTATTTGGTCAAAATACAGTAAAAACAGTAATATTGTGAAATATTATACAAAAAATTTAAATCACTGTTTTCCAGTTTAATATATTTTAAAATGTAATTTATTCCAGTGATGGCAAAGCTGAATTTTCAGCATCATTACTCCAGTCTTCAGTGTCACATGATCCTTCAGAAATCATTCTAATATGCTGATTTTCTGCCCAAGAAACATTTATTATTATTATCAAAGTTATTATCAATTATTATCAAAGGTGTGCTGCTTAATTTAACAGAATGTTTAAAAAACAGCATTTATTTGAGATAGAAAAAAGTTACCACTGTAACACTGTTAACAGTGTAATGCTGTAAAAGTCTGTCTTTTTTTCTTGCTAAAGAGTGGAGAGGAGTATTAATTTCTTAAAAACTTACACTGACGTAGTGTATATAATCAATTTATAATTAAAACAATAACATTTCACATGAAAATCTACCTTCTACAAGCATATCAACATGTAAAAATGAGTGTTTGCTTGTGAGTGCATGCAATGTGTTAAGTCTTGGTGTGTGTGTGTGTGTGTGCTACGTGATAGACTTAATATAAATGTGTGCTTCAACAGTCTTCTGTGGCTTTGTGCCGATGTATCCGCAAGCCTGACAAGTGCATTCCTGTGAAATTCTTGAAGCTTTGTGTTTGTTTGTCTGCTTACTGCTATATGGACCTAGCGGGGTATCAGTGAGCTAGCTAAACATGGGTAGCACCAATGAATGAGTAGCTGCTTTTCCCACGCTGCTTAGTGGCTGGTAGCCAGCCAACTGTGTGTGTGTGTGTGTGTGTGTGTTTGAGGGAAAAGAAGAGTGTAGAGGAGGCAGGAAAAGAGAGTGATCTGAATGTGCCGCTGCTCTGAGTGTGTGTGCACGGTTAATTGATGTCAGACTAACTGCTATATAACAGAATGTGGTCGGGTATGACAAAACTAACAAAAGCTAAACAAACATCGAATCGTACTTTTTGTGAAGGGAAGAAATTAAAAGTTAGATGATGAAACAGCTAAAAGGTTATTTCTTAAAATGTCAAATTTTTAATTGTTAATCCAGAGTCATTGTAAACACTGGGTAATCCTGCCGTATCTTGCTCCATTTTGTATTTTACCCTAGGCTACTAAATAATCCTGCGTAGATTTTACACTGTACAATTGTGTACAATCACACTGGGTTAACATTCTTATTTGCATATTTATGATGTTAAAACATTGATTTGAGAAGTATAGCAAGCAGCAAGCATGAAATTTCTGTGAAAAACAATGGCAAATAAATCCGATCTAGTTGTATTGAATGTTTGGATAATACAAAAATGCACATGAGTATTTAATGGGGAAAGCACTGTTGCTAAATAACTCAGTGTAACATTCTAGCGCCTCACTGCATACCTTTGGCACCACAATCTGGAGAGCTAACCATGCTCTGTACCCACTTCATGAAATTATATGTGTGCTCACCTTCATGCCATGGCCAACTGAGTCCAGGCTAGAGAAAGAGATGGGTGCGCGGGAGTATTTGATCTTGGCTTCTTTATTTTTTGCTGGGGGTACAATCTTATGACTGCGTGGAACCCTCTTGGCAACGGTGAAAGCGCCGATCTCTCTGCGGGCCACCTTCTCCCTGTGCATGTCCACTGTCTGTATAAAAGTACAGATATTGGGGGGGAAATGACTCCTGGAAATCTCTAAAACAATTTTTGACATTAAAATTAATAAATATTCCCAATCTACATGCCACACACTCATTAAAAGAGAGATGATAAACCTGATTCCTGTCTTTGCAACATTCTGCAGTAAAATATTTTTTTATTATATGTGACCCTGGACCACAAAACCAGTCTTAAGTGTCAATTTTTCAAAATTTTTCAAAATCCATTGATATATGGTTTGTTAGGATAGGACAATATTAGGTCGTGATACAACTATTTGAATATCTGGAATCTGAGGGTGCAAACAAATCAAAATACTGAGAAAATCACCTTTAAAGTTGTCCAAATGAAGTTCTTAGCAATGCATATTACTAATCAAAAATTAAGTTTTGATATATTTACGGTAGGAAATTTACTAAATATCTTCATGGAACATTATCTTTACTTAATATCCTAATGATTTTTGGCATAAAAGAAAAATCTATCATTTTGACCCATACAATGTTTTTTTGGCTATTGCTACAAATATCCCCCAGCAACTTAAGACTGGTTTTGTGGTCCAGGGTCACATATTACGGGGCTGTTGAATGTTTGATTCTGATTGTTGATGAATGTTCTAAGGCAGGGATCCTCAAATCTGGCCCACAAGATCCACTTTCCTGTAGAGTTTAGCTCTAACCCTAATCAAACACACCTGAGCATGCTAATCAATGTCTTCAGGATCATTAGAAAATCACAGGTAGGTGAGTTTGATCAGGGTTGGAGCTAAACTCTGCAGCACATTGGCCCTCCAGGGCAAGATTCGAGGAACCCTGTTCTAAGGTGTACATTTATTTTTCAGGAAACGCAGAGCTAAAGTAGTTCTAGGCAACAATGACTGATAAATTATTGTTTTTGATAAATGATTAACATTAAACATAAAATTAAATGCTATGTATTCACATTCATTTTTTATTAATTTATTAAGTAATATTAAATGTAATATGTTTACATGTATTTTATTAACCATGTATTAGTTCACAATGCAGTTAGCTAATAATATGCATTCTAAAAACAAGAATGCTATTAAGCAACCTTGAGCTTAATCTAGTATTTACATCCACCACAACATTAAGCTCATAGCCGTTTATGCTGTTCCAATGGAATCAACTCCCTCGGTAAAAGTTTAGTTTGTCATGTAGGAGGAACTGATGTTGTTCAGCCTTGCTAAGACATTAGATACTTCCTGAAACGCCAGTCTGGTGTTCCTCTGTAAGCCCTCAAATAGAGTGAGAAGGATCACTATTATTCCAGGCCTGCTTGTTACAGCTCTTCCTGGGCACAGGGCAGACAATGGAGAACATCAATCAGGGTTCAAACTTTGTTTCTGAGAGAGAGAACAGTGGCCCTTTCATTCCAAGTCTGGGATCTGGCTTACCCCCACTTTAGCCCTGCCTCAGGTGACCTGGTTAGGCAGGCTGGGCACGGAGCGCGCTGGAATGCTGTGCTGGAGTGAGAGGAGCCAAGTGAATCGAGGGGGGAAGGAGGGAGGGGGCCGTGGTGGCACGGAGTATTATCACCCGGGTGACAGGGGGCCCCAAGCAGTGACTACCTACACTGAGCTTTGGGACATTTCTACAACAGTACTCTGTCCTTATCCACTTAACAGTAGTAACAGCTTTTTACCAAGACACCAAGAGTAATTTTACAGTCATGCTATTTTCTTTTTTACTTAAATGTTCTTGCAAGTTTTTAGCAAGCAGGAATAATTGAGGCTTTTTCGAAAACCCTTCACAGATTCTTGATCACCTAAAATGTATCACAAAACTGAAGGTCATAATCATTATCATTTAGAAGTCTTATCACCTTCTAAATGATTATCGCCTTCTAAACGAAATTATAGGCATCTTATATACCTAGAATGCAGAATTGTAATTTGAAACTAAAATTAATAAATAGAATTAAAATGGAAAATGTGAAGAAATGTACATAAATGCTTCAAATATAGTTTTTAAGTGTTATACCTACATCACATAAGTTTTTTTTTTAAAGAAATCAATTATTTGCAAAAAATACATTTGTATTTAATGTTTATATTTTTTTTATCATATTTAATAATTTATTCTTTAGTTTATGGGCTGTGGTGGAATTAATTCAAATGTTGAAGTCCATTTTTTTAATAAAGCCATCTGTCAATGTGATAAACATTTGGTGGTGACGTACAGCAAAATTTAAATTAATTGTACCAGTATTCAATTACTAAGGGAAATAAGGAACCAGCACATGAAAAACTGCTAAATTCAGTGTATCTGAAGGACAACTTCCATTTTTCATGAAATGAAAGACGACATTGTGGAGCCGGCAAAGTTACAGAGTCTACATGATAAGACTGAACTACTTTACACTGATTAAAATGACCGTGTTGTGGTAATACGATCAAAAAATAACAAACATATTCCAAGTATCTCAAAACATCTGACTACATATTCCAGTATCCCTACAAGACAAAGAGGAATGGGGCTGATACCTGTTCGATCTGGTTGATGGAGGACTCTATCTTGCGGAGCTGCAGGGTCTGTGCATCCAGAAGCTTGAGCACATTGGTGGCCATAGAGCTAATCTGATAAGCCACACTAGCCAAGGACTGAGTAGTGAAGGCCTTGGTCTCCTCCAGGGCTTTGGTGGGGTCATTTCCAGACTGCAGAATTAGAAACATCCTTTAATTAAACCGTTAAACACAGATGACATATGAAAGCATGTTTCAACCAACTTCATCTTAATGTACATTAATACTAGCTGTCATGGTGTTGCATGTAATACATGCCCTTAACATCCTGCAGCAAGAAGAAAAGGGAACAAACTTTTTGTGTACAAGTACACAAGCATTTTGTAGCTACACACAGTCATTTTCATTTGTTGTTCGTCTTTTCATTGACTACTATTGTTTTTATACTGTGTCAATGATATTAACTATACTTTAAGGCTTAAGCTTATTCCTCAAGCAAACCTTTGAGCATTTTTAAATTTTCATGAAGACATTATTTAACGTTTACTAAGCAATTTCTGTTGTTTAGTCTGCTGACAGGCAATTTCTGGTTTTGCTGTATTTCTGGGGAGCATGCAACGTAAAAAAACAAAACAAAAAACTTGACCTCACACAAGGTTCGAGTCAGATGCTTTATCTTCTCACTTGTGTGCCTTTCTTCCTGAATGCTGTACAAAAGTATATTTATATTGAACAGAAGTCTCATAAATAGTAGCATGAGTGTGAGGTGAGATAAAACACGGCGGTAAAGTTAGTTTGATGTTTGACATTCATTAGACATTCTGGGCCTTGTGCAACATAAAGGGCATATATTTATGTCTATCTGAGTTAGTTTGGGCTCAAAACATAAAAGCTGCAAAGAGTTTAATTGGCAAAAAACCCGAATGTCTAATGAATGTCAAACATCAAACTAACTTTACCGCCGTGGAAAAGCTATAGAAAAGCAGCGCAGTAGAAATGCAAAAACGCATTCTGTACCCAATGCACAGACGTATTACTCAAGTATACTATTAAATAATTAAATTCTTGTTTCGTAAATTACACGTCTCATCTTTTCCCTACCGGTCTCAGATTGAATCTGTGTGTGGGACGTGAAGCTGCTCGAGCTCGTGTGAGTGTCTTACCTGCAGGTAGTTGCTCTCGCAGTAGTCCGCTACTTTGTATAAATTGTTGTAGTTGTCTAAAAGTGCTTTGCGAGCAGAAGGGGCCTCCTCCAGTATTTTTGTAACTTCTTCGGAGTAGTTTTGATCCTTCATTGCGCGATGGAATGACAGACCGATCAAGCTCAACTCCGGAAACCTCCGTGCGATAGCAGCCTACTGTACTGATATCTGTCAGTCAGACCCCATCCGCCAGTGCCTTCCTCTGTCACCAGACACAAGTTCTGCTTTGATGCTGCAAGCAGATATCTGATCAAGGGGCTTGCGAGCATGTGGAAACGAGAACATATTCCCATTTACATTTCAACCTGCAATAAATCAGCAGCAGGACTGACTAGTTTTAGAAACATAAAAGAATAATAGACATAATACTAAGTTGTTTCAAAAACACGTGGTCCCCATTAAAGGTGAAATCACGCCCTCTAGCGATTGGATCGATTGTGAACAGGTGTCTATAAACGTGAAGTGTGTGAACAGAGATTGAAAATCTAGGACTTTTTATTTAAAGCAGAAAATAAAAAGGAGCAAGCAATAAAATGAGCTAAAACAAATAAAAATCAAGATGTTTATTATTTTAATTGCAACAGTCTTGGAAAACCTGGATATATGACATTTTAAAAGTGTGATTTCTAAATTTCGAAAAGTTATACAAAATTACTATAAATCTAAAAATAAATAAATAAACACATTTAAATATGAAAAAAATAAAAAAAATAAATATACATTTCTAGTTATGCCAAGCTCTATAAAATATTTTAAATATTTTGGGGCAAAATACATCACCAAGAGTCAAGTCAGACATTCGACAGCCATAAATACTGACGCACAGGGAAAATGTGTAATGGACGCCTCGCAGATACAAAAATAATGTTTTGATTAAAAGGTAGGCCTAGTTAACATTAAACGTCAGCGAAACCCTAAGAATTCACAACACTTTTTACAATAGTGCTCTCATTATAACATTATGTATATGATAGTTATTCATGTTCTGCATTTCTGTTTTGACCAGTAGAATGAAGCATTTGATTGCAGGTTTTTAATCAATGGGATTTAACTCATTTATCTCATATAGAATAAGCTTCGTTATTTATACAACATAATGTTAATATTTCGACTTATAGGCTTGCGCGGCTCTGAATGAGCTCCTTTTGTGGAGGCGTTCTTCACGCAACAACGTGCAGAAACACGGCAACTAAACTCTAAAACTATACAGCGTTTTATTATAATAGTGTTCTCATTATAATGTTATGTACTGCACGTCACTGTGGGTACCAAGCACTTCTCACTGTATTCCTCCTCTAGCAACACCAGAACATTTTGGATGCTTTTGGATCCGAAGATTGACTTGGTCTCTTGAGACCAGAGTATGGATACCCAGAAGTCTCTATTTTGTAAATATGGGCCCTGGAAGAGGTTAAATGAGTTTATTTTGCTTTGGCTACAGTCGGTAGTTCTAGTGGTGACAACAACCACTTCTGCAGGCTGCGTCATACTCTGTGAGATAAAGTATCATGCTTTTTGTAGCTTTTGCCAGCTCTGAGACACTTGCATGTTATTTCTCCTGCTCTTCAAGTCCATTGTTTTTGAATGTCGGTGCTACTTCTGCTATATTTTCACACTTAAAACAATAATTTGGTATTCCTCTTGTACCACTGTCCTCTTTTATGCTAAGAAAAAGTCACCTGGCAGTTCTCTCCCAAGTGGTTCCACTGCTGCCAACCCATTTAAGCCCACCGGCAACTATAGTTGCCGCAGTTTATAGTTGTCATGTTCCTTTTGTAAGTATTTTTCTAGATGTTATCCATGTTTTATTTCTCAATGACATGCAAGCAAACAACCAAATAAAGGATTTCAAGAAAAAAAAAAAGGTATTCACTTCCTTCCTGTCACATGAGGCTGTCAAGTTCCTACCACTACTTCCAGGAAGCATGGCGAAGGCAAACCCTCTCAAAGAAATTTAATTTTCATGTTACTAATAAGTATTTTTTGTTGACATATATATATCTACATAATCATGAAGGTCTCTAGAATCATTCAAACAAAACAAATCTTACAGGAGATCTATAGTTTTTTGTATACTTAATCAAAAGTCCAAGCGGCAACTATAGTTATAGTAATGGATGTGTGGGAATTTGCAGTTTTCAAGTGACAGCAGCAATTTACAAACTTCCGTCAGTCACACAAAAGGAAGAATGGAAAAATAAAGGGCTAACGCATGGGATGAATTGCTGTAGATGATCTTTTTCTCCCTTTTATGACATTATGTCTTGTAAGGGGCAAAATATTGAGGCCCCTTTATCCAGTTTGGATGCGTTTCACCCTAATTCATTGTATGACTAGTAGCTTATGATTCCATTATAATGCTGAAATTCAGACAAGTAATGAGGTTACATTTACATTATTATATGAAATCACCTATACTACAGTCAGCCATTGAATACTATGAGCCTAAAAAATGCGTAATTTTCTTTCAGGTATACCTATTTTATTATACAGATGTAATATTTTCTTCATTCTATTTATTTTTATTTATTTATTTTTATTTAACTAACACACCTCTAAGAATGAAAATACCTGCATGTTCAATAATAAGTAAATAAATAAACAAACAATCATGGGTGTAGCCTACACATGATAATTATTTAAATAAGCATATATTTTAAAAAGAATATCATTAATTTCATGAATATCAAGGACTTTTGTCAGGGTTAATCCATTTGACCTAATCAATATGTGCCTATTCATAAAATATGTGATATTTTACATATTTACATCACAAAGTATAGTATGCAAATATGTTTATGTAAATTTATAAAACTACTTGTACCTTCACTGCAGTACTCCTTCTAGGCTACTTATACTAAAACTGCTTACGTAAGGGAAAGTTTACCCAAAAATGGAAATTGTGTCATTGTGTCATCTTCAGGTTGCAAACCTATGAGATTCTTTCTTTTGTTGAGCACAAAAGAAGATATTTCTACCAAACAGTTAAATGCGTAATTTTCTTTCAGGTATACCTTTTTTATTATATAGATGTAATATTTTCTTCATTCTATTTATTTTTATTTATTTATTTTCAATTAACTTTTTGATATACAATTCCCTGGTGTGGCAACTTAATGGCTGCATTTTGTTCTGCACTATGTTCCACCACTTTAAGACAAATGGATTTGTTTTGTTTTCATATTCAAGAGATTATAAGCTAAATTAAACTTTTTTTGGGGTTTGCATCGAATGTTCTTCGACTTTTATGCATGATACATTTGTTTTTGAATAAAGATTGATCTGTTGAAAGCAGTTATTTTGAGTTAGATGCCAAAAGCTCTCCTCCTATTCAAATTTGACATTGAAGTGGTGCATTCAACATATTTGCCCACCAACTATAGTTGCCGCACATTCAAATACGATTTTCAAGAAAAAAAAAAAAAACCTGGGGAAAATAAATGCAGAACATGTTCACATAGGACACTATTAACATGACTATATGCATGAAACCATTCAGAAAAATTTGGGCACAAATGGGTCAAGTCTGAGTATGATTCAGTGGGCTATATAACATTTTTAATTGTCAGGAAATTACTTGTCTTTAAAAGTTTTGGTTCAATATACTTACCTGTTGATCAAAAATAGCCTTAAACCTATACACTTTTTTTTTGTTTTATTTAGTAACTTTCAGGAGGGTGTACTCATTTTTGCAACACCAAATTTTATTACTTTGATAAGAAAATCTTATTTTGCTGAATAATTTTGGCATTCTTCTTTGGTAATTGATCAAGCAGGCTTGTTGGAAAATTACATCTCCAAAGAACCCTAACATGTCTTCTAAGTAAAGAGTAATTGCTGAATTTAAGTTTTAGAGGGGGTGTACTCATTTATGCTGTGCACTGTATATATATATATATATTCCAGAGCTGATCTTGAATTGTCTGTCATAACATATTCAATTAGAAAACGTAACGTAAAATCACTTTTGAACCCTCACTGCACAATATGTAATGTTTCTCTTTTTTCTTCTACATTTCTGTATTTCATGATGATTATTTAAATGTTTTCACAATAAAATAAAAATACAGTGATTTATTACCATTGTCACTCTGTCTGTTAAAGAACAAAAACATGTTTTAAAGATTCAAAAAAATTAAAATTCAGAAAATTCATTAAGCAGCATATTTATTCAACTTGAATTTGCTGTAGTTATACTGATGCACATTTACTGTGAAGTGCAAGGTGAAAACCTTGCACTTCACAGTAAATGTGCATCAGTATAACTACAGCAAATTCAAGTTCTGTGAATATCTGCAGATGCTTCTTCCTTGCTTATCTGCCAAATAAATCTGACTAACACAGTGAGGAGAAACATAGTAGAAATGCCAGCGTAGCAAGCAAGTATAACTTGCAGCGCATAGACAGACTCTGGGTCCGAGATTTGACGCAAAGTCGCAAACGCCCCAAGCGCAGATACACCCCCAGTCTGATCGTTGCAGCCAGCTCTCCTTGGAGCCAGCAGAAATAGGAGCCTTTGTCTTCCAGCCGCACAGGTTTGAAGTGTAGCTTGTGACCAGTGTCAATGAAGACACGAGACGTCTTATTCAGACCCTCCATAAACTGAGAATGGTAAAGCGGCACTAAGCCTTTATCCCAGGCCACAGCGTACTGCGGTTTGGCGCTAGGACAGGTCAAGACCAGATCAGAGTCTGTGGGGTGATTGTGGAAGTGGATGGTGACACCTGAAGAAGATCGATCATCAAACTGAAGGAACTTCAAGAGCTTGTCAGCTCGTCAAACTGTTGGGGAATGGCTGAGGAACCACAGGGAGCCACTGTGTCTGATTTACGCTGATAACGTACATGGAGGTAAATGCTTTTGACGTAACAAAGTCCTCTACGCATCTGCTCCCCTTCGGCGTCACACCGGTCACATTTAGACCATGGCCCGTAGCTGGTGAACACCTGAAACTTTTCAGTTTTTATGCTGATGGGCTCTGCTTCTTGTACTTGAGTCCTCTGTTTGATGTTCCAGGGAAATAAAACTTGACAGACCTCCTGGACATCAACATCGTAGCCATAGAAGAAGTCACCAGAGGCCATGCCACAATTATAGTGCCCTGAGTCAACTTTTTGCACCCTGAGAGGTGAGAAGACTAAATAAACGGATGAAAAAGCGACTGCGTAGATCCGACCCTCTCCCAACTTTAGATGATTCCACCACCTTAGTGCCTTCAAAGTCTGTGAGGACTTTGGTGTTCATGGAGCCAATTTGCTTTTGATAGTACCATACTACTGAAAGAGTCTCCTCTGGTTTACAGTGACAAGGAAGTTCAATGGTTATATCAGCCAGGAAGGCAGCAGTGTCAAAGACAAGAAATGCAGGTCAGGCCATGCTGGCAAAGATGTCCTCCTTATCTTCTGGAGCCTCATAGGCTGAAAGTAACAATAGGCAGATGGCCCTAAAAAATTTGCCAGCACTTCTCTTAGCATATTTCTGCCAGCATAAAACATGAAAAAATTATATATATAAAACTGTTTACGATACAAAGGAAAAAAACAATTGAATTTCAATATGAACTATTTTTGGATGCCATATTTTCCCATTAACGCTTTCAGTTGTGCTGTAATGTCAGTCTCATCATCCTCCACACGTGTCAGACTGGCCTCACAAACCATTGAAGTGTCAGAAGAATCACCTACTGCAACTTGTAGCTTGTGGAAAAGCTCCTCACAGGCTTTTTGTTCCGCCTGACTAAGAAGAGACAGGTTCAGGCCAAAACGGCCAGTTCTGGAAAGGCCGTCCAGCACTCCAATCACTATTTCCTCATCCCCTGACTTAAGACACTGTCACAGAATCAGAAGGAACTCGCCTAGAAGACCAAGGCCAACCTCAGTTCTGAAGATTTCCTGCAGAGCCTTGCCTCCCAGACTCACAAGGAGACTGTACTTAATGAGCTTTCTGCAAACCTGTGCTAGTCATGGATGAACTCTGACGCACTTCTTGGCTGGATCTCAGATAACTGTGGCTAAAAGTAAATTCAGAATTTAGTTAGTTATACACTTCATTCTCAAGTGAGATTATATATTGTGAGATCTAGCATTGGGACAACATATAGGTCATTTGCTTCATAAAATGTCTCTCCTGGACCTTCTCAGATGAAGCACTTTTGTGCTTTGTGCTAAAAGGAACTGGATTCCATGGCTGCTTTCGAGGTGCACCAGAGATGTCCTTTCTGTCAAGGGGCTGTAAGTGAGATGCAAGTACTATATCCCTGAAATCATAACATAAAACAGTTACAAGACACACCAGTGTTATTTTAGTAGCACTGAGATACAAAAATAGTTTTTAGAAATATTTTGAATGTTTTTACAATTTCTGTTTTCATTATCAATTAGGTTATAGTATTTTTTTTTTATTAATGTTTATTTCAGTTATTTAGTTTTTTTTGTATTAGGCCTAAGTTAAACTTGCCAATTTATTTCAGTTAACGTTTATTTCAAGTAACAGTAGAAGAGTTCAGATACAAAAGCCTCTGAGTGCCGTCTGAAATGTTCATCTAAAATGAACATTTATATCAGGCTCCTATATTTGTTCAGTTATTTCACTTTAATGATTTAGAAAATGACCTATACATTGCCATTAAAGTAAAATTAGAAATATTTTGAATGTTTTTACAATTTCTGTTTTCATTATCAATTAGGTTATAGTATTTTTTTTTTATTAATGTTTATTTCAGTTATTTAGTTTTTTTTGTATTAGGCCTAAGTTAAACTTGCCAATTTATTTCAGTTAACGTTTATTTCAAGTAACAGTAGAAGAGTTCAGATACAAAAGCCTCTGAGTGCCGTCTGAAATGTTCATCTAAAATGAACATTTATATCAGGCTCCTATATTTATGTTCAGTTATTTCACTTTAATGGTTTAGAAAATGACCTATACATTGCCATTAAAGTAAAATTACTGAACCTAAACATAGGAACCTGATAAAAATGCTACTTTTAGCAGAAAGTTTCAGACGCATTTAGAGGCTTTCGCATCTGAACTCTTGAATTTTTGTGTGTGATTTGTTTTAGTTATATATGATTTTTGTTCGTTTTTAGTAAATGTAAATTATACAGTACGATACATTAAAAACGTACCTGAATTCTTCATAGCTGGCGACATTTTTGTTTAAAGCACGAAACTTGGCATAATTTTCCTTCTGATATTTCCTGTCCGCTTCCAGCGCCGCTTGTAGCTCTTTTTCAAGAGAACTGACATTATTGTATCAGATTTCTCCATACCTGCTCTTACTGTTACGTGAAAAGTCACCCAATTTACTTTTATGGGGAGAACTGGTAATGTTATTTACCTCAAAAGACAGAAATTCAGCAACTGAATACAATTCAGCTAACTTGCTAGCTCACGCCTCCATATTATCCATAACAAACTTTGTGTAACATTCTCAAAACATAAAAAAAGACAGAAATACAATTAATCTACTCTAAACATATTAAATGACCGTCATATAGACGTAAAGCTCTGATCTCAAGCAACATCTCAAAAACAGTTTAACAATGTATTTTGTATTTTCGGAATTTATCAATATAATCATCTAGTGTATGAGGTTTAAACGTTTATTATTATTTCAATTTTAACTTAAAAGTTCTTACTGGTGTTGAATTCGGTCATTTTAGACCGAACAAAAAAAAGTTTTGAATTTGTAAAAATCGCTACTTCATCGGAATTGTTCGATGTCTTTATGGGAAATGCGTGAAATAAAATCAATAACTCAGCCACAATGCAGTAAAAACAGACACCAAGAAAAGGGTTACACTCTAAAACATCAAAAATACAAAACGGACACATACACTCACACAAACACACACACACGCACACAAACAAAACACTATTATACACACACACACAAATCAACTGGTGTGGCTGTAACAATATGGCAAAATTGAGCCAGAAGACTCAAATAAGAGGTTGACATTTTTGTTACATTTTGATGTTGTGTAACAAAATGTCTTTCTCCGTGTTCAAGTTTGACTGTAGTAATATTGATGCAGAAACAGACATTTCAAACAACAAAAAATCTAAACCCTTACAAAAAGTTGTCTTTGAGAATGTCTAAATATATATCCAAACCCACAACTTCAAATTAGGTATGTCTAAATACAACTAGAGAATGTATAAGCCTTTTTATATAGAGCTATATGAATCTAGTGGCTAAACCATGGAATTGCAATGTTTTTCTTTTCTTACTCCCACCAGATGGCATTAATCTGCCTTCAAAATTTGCATTTTTAAGGCAGTCTCTTTTTTTAACATGAAAGACAGCCATAATTGAAAAATAATATAAAAAGTGTGATCCCCAAATGAACAATACCAGATTAAGACAAAATATTACTATCATGGTAATTATCTGTTAAGAACTAACATTTCATGAATGCTCTTAAAGTTAACGCATTACTGAATAAATTTAGCTTTCATATACTCATTTGTCAAATGTAAATACTCAAGACAATATTTCTCACGCAAATGTATTTACCACATGTACTTTAGTCAAAGAATCAAACTTTTAATATTCTCAGTCTGTAAAACCTTAACTGAAGTTTGCATTAAATAGCTTATAAAATGTGAATACACATTCAAAATATTGCAGTGTCAAGACAAAATTCCCTGGAATCAACAGACAGTGACACATGCAAACTTTGAGGATTTTATTGAAAACGACAAGCCACATTTGCGCTCAGGCAATGCTACCAGCATTGGAAGCAATCCTGGGCCACAGGTCTGCGCATTCCTTGGCCACGGGTCCTGTGATAGCTGAGCCTATGAAAGAAAACAAAAACAATTCAGCACTGCACCTGAGCAAAATCCAGAACATTAAGTTAAAATGACAAATTTCAAGAAGAGACGAAAACTGTTCCATCACGGATTGAGATTTAACAGCACATGGTGACTGCCATCTCACCCAACAGCAATGGGATTTATTATTCCTTCATTGACGACTCACCCAGCCATTGAGCAGACAAAGCAAGTGCTTTAAGAAGGATACCAAAGAAGATCTTATATTCATAACTCACCTTTCATTTCTCCTTTGTTATTCACTATGACCCCTGCATTGTCTTCAAAGTATAGAAACACGCCATCTTTTCGCCGATACGACTTCCGCTGTCGTATCACCACCGCAGGATGCACTTGATTAAAAGGGGAAAGTTGTATAAGCATATATACTTGACCTTGAAGTCAGATCAGCAACACTCAAACATCTCTATGCCAAAGCCTGTTATTTGCATTCAAAACCAACATAAAGCTCAGGGTCCAGATGAAACATAATAATTCAGCCTCTGTAAACACTCACCCTTTTTCCTGAGCTCTGGCTTGCCTTTCTTCACTGTGGCCATGACCATGTCGCCCACACCAGCGGCGGGGAGCCTGTTCAGACGACCCTTGATGCCTTTGACGGATATGATGTACAGGTTCTTGGCACCTAAGCGAGAGAAAAGCCACAGATCAGTTACATTTAGTCATGTGTGATCCCCAAATGAACAATACCAGATTAAGACAAAATATTACTATCATGGTAATTATCTGTTAAGAACTAACATTTCATGAATGCTCTTAAAGTTAACGCATTACTGAATAAATTTAGCTTTCATATACTCATTTGTCAAATGTAAATACTCAAGACAATATTTCTCACGCAAATGTATTTACCACATGTACTTTAGTCAAAGAATCAAACTTTTAATATTCTCAGTCTGTAAAACCTTAACTGAAGTTTGCATTAAATAGCTTATAAAATGTGAATACACATTCAAAATATTGCAGTGTCAAGACAAAATTCCCTGGAATCAACAGACAGTGACACATGCAAACTTTGAGGATTTTATTGAAAACGACAAGCCACATTTGCGCTCAGGCAATGCTACCAGCATTGGAAGCAATCCTGGGCCACAGGTCTGCGCATTCCTTGGCCACGGGTCCTGTGATAGCTGAGCCTATGAAAGAAAACAAAAACAATTCAGCACTGCACCTGAGCAAAATCCAGAACATTAAGTTAAAATGACAAATTTCAAGAAGAGACGAAAACTGTTCCATCACGGATTGAGATTTAACAGCACATGGTGACTGCCATCTCACCCAACAGCAATGGGATTTATTATTCCTTCATTGACGACTCACCCAGCCATTGAGCAGACAAAGCAAGTGCTTTAAGAAGGATACCAAAGAAGATCTTATATTCATAACTCACCTTTCATTTCTCCTTTGTTATTCACTATGACCCCTGCATTGTCTTCAAAGTATAGAAACACGCCATCTTTTCGCCGATACGACTTCCGCTGTCGTATCACCACCGCAGGATGCACTTGATTAAAAGGGGAAAGTTGTATAAGCATATATACTTGACCTTGAAGTCAGATCAGCAACACTCAAACATCTCTATGCCAAAGCCTGTTATTTGCATTCAAAACCAACATAAAGCTCAGGGTCCAGATGAAACATAATAATTCAGCCTCTGTAAACACTCACCCTTTTTCCTGAGCTCTGGCTTGCCTTTCTTCACTGTGGCCATGACCATGTCGCCCACACCAGCGGCGGGGAGCCTGTTCAGACGACCCTTGATGCCTTTGACGGATATGATGTACAGGTTCTTGGCACCTAAGCGAGAGAAAAGCCACAGATCAGTTACATTTAGTCATTTAGCAGATGCTTTTATCCAAAGCGACTTACAAATGAGGAAAATGAAATGAAAACGAGTTGAAGTCATTAACTGAGCAAAGACCAACTCAGTATATTCTATAATATTTTTACGCTTAAAATGAATTCAATTGACATACAGGTCTGCTAACCCTCAGCTGGGTCATCAAAACAAGCTAACATTTGTTCCATCACGGATTGAGATTTACCAGCACATGGCGACTGCCATCTCACCCATAAGCAATGGGATTTATTATTCCTTCATTGACGACTCACCCAGCCACTGAGCAGACAAAGCAAGTGCTTTTAAGAAGGATAACTTGCCCAAATACGGGCAGATCTCATACCTGTGTTGTCAGCGCAGTTGATGACCGCTCCCACTGGGAGACCCAGTGAAATACGGAACTTGGCTCCCGATGACCCACCACGTCCTGAACAGGAGGATAAATGCATTAAGCTTTTATAACCGTATGATAAAACAGCCAAAAGATACCGGTCACATTTTCTATTTGCTTAGCTAGCCAGTAAGTGACTTCATTCATTTATAATTGATTGACTCTGGCTACAAGAAATGAAGACTTTAAAAAGCAACTACAAATACAATCATACTGACAAGCTGTCTACATAAGCAAAAAACCGTTTTGCCAATAACACTGCAAAGCCTCAAGTCACTTATATTAAAGCTATTTTAATCTCATCACAAAGGAAAGATTTGGTGCAGTTCTCTTCACAGTGGTAGAGGCATCAGTCACTGTTCATGTTCACTGCCATTAAAAAGACCCAACGAAAGTGAATGGTGGCCGAGGTTGTCATTCTGCATAAAAGCCAGTATTTTCCATAAAAATAAATCAAGTGCTACAGGTTTGGAACAACGTGTTCATTTTAGGGTGAACTGTTCCTTTAGGTCTGCAAACGTCTAATTGCTATCGATACGGTTGAGTTACAGTTGCTGCCTGACGCCAGTCCGATTCCACTCGATACAGGTATTACACCATTTCTGAGGAAAATAATACTTCAGAATCTATTAACCCCACGGTTTGTTTGCCTGGTCGATACCAGCTTAAAACCTTAAAATATGTGCATTACACTAGCAAGTCAGCGTGCGCTTCAACTCGCCACCATCCATCCAGCCGAGCGTCGACCTGCTTCGTTGCATGTTGTCAGTCCACAACTCGCACGTCTAGTTCTTTTAAATGTCACATTGCTTTTTTACATGTCAGTTAAGGTGAACCCATGTTCCAAAACCTGCTTTCGCACAACAAAGTTTGAGTATGAAGTGTTTAATCATCATACTACTAGCTCCACGAGCCCGAGTCTGCGGACTTGGCAAACATGGCTTCTCCCGCTAGCGGCAAATGTACCCAACTAGTTTTTTTATCCAATATGTTCTTGACAACTGGCGTCAATATATTGAAAATATAAGTTCTCTATGATCAATTAAACCTATTTTCTCCTTTATGAGGCTTCAGTGTATCTCATTTTAAGGATGATTATGGATTTTCATATGTGTTTCTTACCTCTCTTAGACATTGTCGCCGAAAGGGAAAGAGGAAGAGAGAGAAAGGAATGCTGGGAAATAATCGTGCGCGCGCCACATCTCTCGCAGCATCCGGCGCACACTTGAACGCCCTCATCCGTGCATCGCCACCTAGTGAGGCGTATGTATGCCTCGCTAATGTATTTCAATAACGTGTGGGGAATTATAGCCGCTAATAATAGAATTATAGATTCAAAATGTAACGTCCAATATGTAGAAAATACATTGCAGATATACAGTGACGTGTGAGTCTGACACATTGAAAATGTTCATCAGGTTTTGCAACATGTGGAGCTCATGAGACTTGAGTGACCTTAATATAATTAACATAATATGCGAATAAAAGGAGTATTAAATTGCAAAATACTGAAATGAAATAACCTTCAAACCACACGGTATATTAGCTATATGAAATATTTGAGATCGAAATGAATGCTTCAGAATCTTGACTCACAGTTACAGATAACATAGGCTATTGTCACAATTTCAATACAAAAAAATGATTTATATGTTTGTAATTCATAAACACAGTGTTGCCATTATATTTACATGCATTTTGTAAATATAATGGAATGGTTGAAATTGTTAAAATCAACAAAACATCACATATGCAAAGAAACAGTTGTTTAAATAATGAGACAAGGAGAAAATACTCAAACCTGAGATGATTTTAATACTTCAATTATGTTTCCATTTGACCAGCCCTTTGAAAATTTGTGTTTCTTATTGCATGCTCCCCTTCCCATCTAAACAAGCAAATATGTAATCAGCATTATGGAGAACAACATTTTACTGGTGATATCTATAATACAATATGACATTGTGTAAGTTTATTTGTTGGAATGAACGTTGCAGTTGTTAATTAACACGTAATATTGGACATGGAATAAATCATTTAAACGTCAAACAATATTCAAGACTTCCATAGTATGTAATGTGCCCATTAACACAACATGCAAGAATGAGATGGAAAAATGGGAAATCATTTTGTTTAAATACAATGCTCCATATTTAAATATGACGCTGCAAAACTGCATCTTAGTAAGAAGTAGACAACATGATATACAGTATACAATATACACACATTTACACTACCATTCAAAAGTTTGGGGTCAGTAAGATTTTTTAAAAGTCTCTTATGCTCACCAAGGCTGCATTTATTTGATCACAAATGCAGTAATATTGTGAAATATTATTGCAGTTTAAAACAACTGCGTTATATTTTAACATATTTTAAAAAGTAGTTTATTCCTGTGATGGCAAAGCTATATTTTCAGCAGCCATTACTCCAGTCTTCAGTGTCACTTTGGAAATCATTCTAATGTGCCGATTTGGTGCTCAACAAACCCTGATACATTTTCAAGATTCCTTGATGAATAAAAAGTTCAAAAGGACAGCATTTATTTGAATTTTTTTTGTAACATAGTAAATGTCTTTAATGGCACTTTTGATCAATTTAATGCGACCTTGCTGCATAAAAGTATTTATTTTAAATCTTACTGACCCAAATTTCTGAACAACAAGTGTACCATGTATAATAGTGGAAGATTTCATTAGTGCATGTTGCTTGTCAGTGGGTTGCCGATCTGGGTCAGGATGGGAGGGGGTGGTGAGGTTGGCTAAAGAGGTTAGCATTGGCAGTTATCCCAGCGCAGGTTGTGTTTACCCTGGGCACAGACACCTGCATGGTGCTCTGCAACCCCTCCTGCCTCTCAGGAGAGCTGGTGCCAGGCACACTTCCCTTCATGGGATGGCATCCAGCCTGGGCGAGAACACTCTCTCTTTCTCTTTCTCCTGCTCTTCCATCTGTTTGGATGTGTTGTCGGAGTCAGTGGCTTCATTGTCTTCTCCTTGGTGCTCCTCACAGGAAGCGTGAGGGTGCGTCTGCCACGTTCCATCCTGGTAAGTGCAGAAACACACCGTCCGCTCATTAATCTTAACACGTTCTCCAGCTGAGATCACGCGATTTCCAGCAAAGCAGTTTGGCCCTATGAAAAAGAGACAAGAGCATGAAGCTCAGTATTTGGTTAGAATTATAGCTTCTCGAACAGAAAATTCTGTCATCATTTACTCCCCCTAATGTTATACCAAACCTGTATGACTTTCTATGTTCTGTGGAACACAAAATAAGTTTTTGTTCATGTATTAAAAGGCAGTGGGGTCCAAAGCAACATTGCTTTTCAAAAATCATTTTCCAAATATCTTCTTTTGTGTTCTCCAGAATAAATAAAGTCAGGCAGGTGTGGAACAACATGACGGTGAGTAAATTATTTTTGGGTGAATTAAGTCTTTACCCACTGTTGTCTATTGAATGATAGATCTCAAATAGAAATTGCCACTCATATATGCACACAAATGCATTACGTATTTCATATATATACAGTATATTTTGTTTTGAAATCTGTACACATTAATGACCAGATTCGATATAAACATTACATACACAAACTATCACACACAATCTGTCCACCTCAAGCCTTCTGTTGTCAGGGATGGCCCATTGCCCCATAGTGCCTGCGCCATGCCAGCATGCCGTGAACTAGTTCCTATTTATAGACGGCATGGTAGTAAGCAATCCATCGAACAATTCCATTGCATCATTCTTTTTCCATGACATCACCATGAACCGTGCAGTAATCAAGAAAAAAATCCATCAAAAACAAGAGGTCCACATCATGAATGTAACTTCCTCATTCATTGATCCTCAAAACACAACCTTATATGCATGCCTCTCAAAACACAAATAGGTCTTGACAGATGCATGTGATGCAGATGCAAGTGTTTGTTAAAAAAATACGTTACAGTGGTAATGACACTGAACGGGCAGACATGCACGTGAGGTATTGCATGTAAAAACTCTCACCACTTTTGCACACAGGACAGCAATGGTTGGGTTCGTATACAGGGTTCACACAATGTAATGCAGGGCAGCCGGATATGGTGCAGTAAACTTCTCTGTTGACTTCACACCGGCAACGCTCACAGGGTGACAACTGTTTAAAACAGGAACAAAGAATCACTCTGGATTATACAATTTATTATTGACATATTGACGATTGATAGGCCAGGGAAAACCCCCATACTGTCAGATAACGGTAACAGGCAGTTGCACCCAAATTAACTACTCTGAATGGATTCATCTAAAATAATTTCTTCATACATAAATATTTTCTCAGTTGTGTACAGAGAAAAAGCTTCAAAACTATCACTGGGGCAGTATCCTTTCAAAATGTACTAATATGTACTTTTAAAGTACTAATATGTTACTAATTTAGTACTAATTTAGGGGTAAATAAGATGTACCTTTTAGATTTTTTTTTAAATTAGAGTATTGCACCAGTGTCTGAGAGTGTAGCCTGTTTTGTTCCATACTCTAGAATATGTATTGTAAAAGTTTCTGATAAATGTACGTTTTTTTATCCCACAAACATTAGTTCATTGACTAGAGTTAAACAAAACACAGATATTAGATAATTATCATGCAATTTTTATGATGTCCCAAATTTGAAACCTTTCATTTCCTGAAAAGTGAGCAGTGTTGTTATAAAACAAAACAAAACAATGCAAAAGGTCATCATTACATATTAGAATCTCTGCATTGTTGTAATAAACCTTAGAACGTTAGTGAAAAACAAATCAAAACGAAACATTATTATCATCACTACAATATCCATCCAGACCAAAATATATTATTTTCTAGCCTACGAACTTCCGCAGACTCACCCTAAATTCTTCCAGCATTCTGTACGTTTTGCCCCCGTACACGCAAACTTTGCTGACCGCTTCACACACGGGACAGCAGGACTTGTATGTGATGCGCGAGCATCTCGGGTGTATACGCGGGCACTTGGGTCTGACACACACGGGTCCATCCTCTGTGCAGGTGCAGGGACACGCTGTAGAGCTCGGATAATAAACCTCTCCGATGCTATAAACAAAACCTTGATCGTCGATGCAGAACTTGCCACGATAGTCACCGAATTCGTATTCCAGCTCGGATTTTGAAGAATACTCTGATGCGCTTTGCAGAACGAAGCACTGGAGTGCAAATGAGATACAAAGGACGAGAGATCGCATCCTTACCGGCAGTTTGTTGTGGTCTGGATTGTCATCATGCGAGTGGGGCAGTGCATAAACATATGCCCATATTGCCCAATGACATACACGAGAGAAAATGACCCTCCTCTGAATGTCACCATCAGTAGGCTACTGTACAAACAATCTTGCAGGCAACTGTATTATGTTAATGACTTTAATAAGAAAACGTTTTCTTCACATTTACTTTTTACATTAGGAATAGCACGTGCTTGTGTTACAGTTTTAGAATAATTCTAATCTTTTAAAATATTTTAAAATGTTTTTAACGTTTTCAAAACTGTTCCTAATGACTTTTCCCTTCAAATAATATGGAAGTGGTGCATGGATGCACACCTGGCCTGGGATACATGTATCGTACGTGTAGAGCTGCACAGAAACGTGCAGATCTACCAGTGAAGATTGTTTTCATCATCAAATTAGACAACTTTTACTCCTTTTTCGCCATCTGCTGGTCAAATGACTGAAATGCAGCACAGTTGAAAGATCCTAATGATCCAATCTCCGTATCTGTACATTTTATGTAGCTTTGGCATGCTTGTATTTTAAGACATGTAAAATAAACAAACTGTCCAAGACTTGGAACCACACAATTTAGTGATCTATACCTGAAATTACATTGATTCTGAGAGCTACTGACTTCTGAAGTTCATCAAATTCTTTTCAAATGTAGCCAGTTTAAGAACTATCTAACAAACATTTCTTGCTTGGCTCATAGGGAAAAGACTTGGCTAAATTATGAGTTCGGGACTCCATCAAAAAGTTGCACTGTAACGGCTAATAACCACGCTGACAGAGCACTTTTTACTATTTGTGTCAGACATGGCATTGTTCTGTCCATTGTTCTGCTTGGTCGCTTGCTTTTTTTTTTTTTTTTTTTTTGAGAACCACCACTGAGGGGTTGGTGAGTTTATGAAAAGCATAATTACAGTAAAAGTAAAATTAATAAATAATTGATTTAAATAAAAACAATTAAAAAAACACTTCCTAAGACTAACACTTACTACTAACTTTAAATCTTAGGGGGTACTTCAAGTAAATATTTTAGCTTAAAGGAGTTCAGCTGAACCCTCCCGATTACAGTCCAATTGCTACTACTTCTTGACTTTAAATTCAGGCTGAATAAATTTGTACATTTTTGCTTTTGTTCCATTGACTTGTGTCACATTTCTGCCCAAATGCAGCCAAGATCTAATCATTTAACATGTTGCTTTTATAGTTCCAGAAACCTTAAATGCTGTCAGCTAAAGTGATTTTAATGATCTTGCCAGTATTTTAGCACAAATACAATATTTATATACAGTGTTGGGGGTAACTCATTACAAGTAATGCGAGTTACGTAATCAGATTACTTTTTTCAAGTAACTAGTAAAGTAACGCATTACTTTTTGATTTACAAGAGAATATCTGAGTTACTTTTTCAAATAAGTAACGAAAGTTACTTTTTTTTTCCTATTTATTGATTGACAGCTCTCCTGTCCCCATGTTGAGAGAAATCAGATGTTACTGCTCTAAAATAAATATGAATATGCATTAATTCATCTCACTTACAAAAAAAACACAGATTCAGTATTCCTCAAAATGAATAAAAATAATGCAACTCAGAATATGACACAAACCTGCAATAATTAAATGTTAAACAACACAAATATCCTTTATGTATTATGGAGTAACGCAATATTGTAATGCATTACTTTTAAAAGTAACTTTCCCCAACACTGCTTATACAATGCAATACTTACATACATCATATTAGGCCTACTTATATCAGATGAACAAATTAGAATTAAATACCATCTGAAAGGGGTGAAATAACATCTAGTTACCCGGCTTTCGTTTCTACAAATTTAGCATCATTCAGATTCTTGCTGATGTTATAAAATGATTATATGCTGATTAGTAATTTAGTTCAATTAGATTACACAAGCAAGATAATCTGGTGACTCGATGTTTAATATTAGGTATAATATTCTCGTTACACGTTTTGTTGTAGCACGTGGTTTCAGAGTAGACGGCCAACTAAATGGAGAGAGAGCAAGCGCAAATCCTGGCAGCGGCAGGGCGCAGCGCCACTTCCGGTGGCATCCCCAGCTGCCACTGGCCGCTGCCACAGTCTTTCTCGCCGTTTC